TGGTGTTCTGCAGCTTTTCCCTCTGAGCAAATTTTTTCACTTTTCTGTGAGGCTGCACAGGGTGGGGACCCGCTTCCTGGGATTCCCCAGGGCCATCTTTCTTATCTCTCTGTTTCTCTTCATGAATCAAAATCTCAACTCTGTCTTTACAATCCACAGCCTTCCTGGAATTTTCCTTCTGGCCAAACTCACAGTATTGTAAATTATCCTGCTGGGAACTTTGTTCTTGATTTGAAACATAAAGCTGGCTGAAAGCCCCCAGCAATAGCCATGCCACAGCCTCAACATTGGATTGCTTTTTAATTACTTTTTCAAGATTAATCAGTCCATTGCCCTTTGTCTCAGTCTCAGGCAAAGTCTCTGGGCAGGAGCAAAATGCAGACAAACTTTCTGCCAAGCCATAACACACATCATGTGGATCCCAACAACCAATACAGTCCTTCTTCCCAGCAGAAACCTCCCAAGCCTGGTCTTTACCATGAGGCTTTCTATCAGCCTTCTGGTCTCTGGAGCTCTGACCAGAAGCTCCTCTACAGAACAGCCTAAGCTGCTCCAGCTCTATGCATCCAGGTGTCTGAACCTTTCCAAATTCTGTCCACAAGCCATCTCTAAAGCCTCTCAAAAACATGGTCAGATGTAGTCACAGCAAACAACCCCACTCCTCAGTACCAAATTCTGTCTTAGTCACTTTATGCTCATTGCTGAGACAAAATACCTGATGCCCAAGTTGGGAAAGGAAAGGCTTATTTCTTACAGTTTTGGAGGTTTCAGTCCACACTCAGTTGGCTCCCAGGCAGGCGGGCATGGCTGGGAAGCCTTTCATGGTGGCTGCAAACAGCAAGCTCAAACCAGCAAAGAGCAAGACATACCTTCTTCCTGCCATTACATCACATCCTGGCTCCACCCCTTTGTAAGTGGGGCACTGACACCATCAATCCAAGCACTAGACAATGAAAGAATAACAAATGCACAATTCAAACTCATGAGGCCTGGGGGACACAGATATAAACCATGACAGGGTCCAAAAACCTTCACTGGGAAAATTATAGCCTCTTGATTAAATGGTGCTGGGTAAACTGGATTTTCACATGTAAAAATTGAACCTACACCAATATCTCTCACAATCAGTGAAACAAAAATCAAAATGAATCAAAGATATAAATATTAAAACAGAACAATTTAATGTACTGGAAGACAGAATTGGCAAAACTCTGGAAGATGTAGGTATAGGCATAGATTTTATGAACAAAACTCTGATTGCACAGTAAATATTACAAAAATCAACTAATGGAATCACATCAAATTGAAGATCAAAGATAACTACCAAAAAATGAGGATACAATCAATAGGAAAAAAATAGCAAAATGGTTAACATCTGGAATATATAAAGAATTAAAAAAAAAATAACTCCCCAAATCTCCCAAATTTAAAGACCCAGTCTACATACGGGTATCTGATAAAGAATAGACATTTCTCACATGAAAAATTACAAACAGTAAATAAATATACAAAAAAGTGGTCAACATTACTGGTCATTTGAGAAATGCAAATTAAAAGAACACTAAAATTCCATCTCACTCAAGAAAGAATGGCTATTATCAAGAAATCAGCCATCAAGAAATGCTGGTGTCTTAATTAATTTTCTCATTGCTGAGACAAAATATCTGTTACATAAAATTAAAGGAAGAAAAGCCTATTTAGTTCACCATTTGTAGAGGTTTCAGTTGGTAATCAACTGTCTCCAAGGCAAGGTGGCACATAGCAGAGGGACAACAGTTCATGGTGGCACAAGACAGAAAAAGCAACAATATAAAGAGAGCAAGAGAAGCCACTTCATGTTCTTCCTATTATATGAAGGCGACTCCTCCCTCCCCAAGGCAGGTATGGCACTCACTCCCTTAATCCCAGCATTGGACCATGAATCAGTCACAAACTCTAGATTTAGTCATATTTGAAATCCCACCCCCATGACTACATGAGCGTTTGTATGGACATCTAGACAAAAATCATAACACCTAGCAAAGCTGTGGCAAAAAAGAAACCATTCTTCATTCCTAGTGGAAGTGCAAACTGGTACAACCACTATAAAGATCAGTATGTGGATTCCTCAAAACACTAAAATTAAAGCTTCTATTTGACCAAGATATTTTTCTAAGTATGTGTCTGAAAGGCTGAAAAACTTTGCAACATGTGATATATACATACTCATGTTTATAACAACCCAATTATAATAGCCAAATCTTGGAGTGAAGCAGCCCATATGCCCATCAAAAGATGAACAAAGAAAATGTATTTATATATGATATAGTACTACTCTTCAGTTAAGATAGATACAGTTGAAACATTTATAAGAAAATGGAAGCAATGAATGCATAATTTTAAGTGAAATAAATTTGGCACACTAGAATAAATATATTGTTTCCCTCATGTGAGAAACTCAAAGGACAAAGAAGGAGAATTATGCAGGACAGGTATTGGGAAGTAGGAAGAACATGTTCAAATGGCAATGGGAACAAGGAAGGAGAGAGGAAAGGAAGGGAAAAGGAAAAAAAAGGAATGTAAAGAAAAAGTGGAAATAAAGCTTGTGTAAATGGAGAAGAAAATAAAGGTTGAAGGGAGAGGAAGGTAATGGGAAAAATAATTAAGATATGTTATATAGAGGTATATATTCTCCATTATGTATGGCAAATATGTACTAATAAAATGAATAATATTAAATAACCAAGCCTGACAATCTGAAAATAGAACAAGTTATCTTGTGTTGCAACACTATTTGGAAATAGTGATAGATGGGTACATACTATTATTCTAAATTATGAAACTCTTCATCAGTTAGATCTCTTCTACAAAAGGGAAGGAGAGTGGTATGCAAGCTTTTATGTTAAAGTGTTTATGGCTCTTTATCTCTGGGAAGGGCCAAAAGTTATAGTAAGAGAAAATTGATATCATTGATGATCTATCCTCATACACTCACCTGTTTGTAAGAGAATTATGAATCTCTCCCACCTTTTTAATAAAAATAATTACACAGTTGTCTCCTCAATTTCTTCCTTATAACCCTCAGGCCAATAAATCAGTTCCATTCCTTTCAAGTGAGTCAGGACTTCCAATGAAGGTTAGTGTCCCAGAGAAACCCAGTGTTTCTCCAGTCTCCTCATTTTCCTTAGATAGTTTTGAACCTCTAGAACATACTCAAGGGTTGAGCTCTTTATTCTAACTTACAGTACTTCCTGTTCCTTAGAAGAGATTCCAGGAGTAGAACCGACTACTTAAACCCAGGTTCCACTTTCAGAGGCAGAGACCAAACAGAGCAAAGAATGACTAGGCTGATTTTCAAAAGATCCTGGTAGATTTGCAGGAGTTTCAAATTTGGACCACTGTTTTTGACCCAGCATGCCAAGATATCAAATTTAACCTGCTTTCTTGCTGTGTCCCAGATATAAAACAAAAGATTCTAGAAGAGTCTTGGAGCTACGTGCTAGGTTTAGGAAAAGGAAATAAAAAAGTGGCCTTTATTGAGGATATAGAGAGGAGCACAACACTGGTGGGGCTGGGCTCTCCATTGCCAGAGACAAACATGGCAGGATGTTTTATGACCTTTGGCCAAAGGTGGAGTTTGGGGCAGGCATTGATGATGTGTTAAGAACTGATTGGAATTCTCTTAGTGTGCAGGAAATGAAAGAGGAAGTTTTAATCAGGGCTGAAGGGAAAGGAGAAAGAAGTGGTTGTCAGAGTAAGTGCTGTTTTTGCTTTACCCTTCCACCATGTTAGACCACTGCCATAATGTTCAATAATTTATACTAGGGTGGGAACCTTTTAATTCTGTATTTGCATTGCTAGCATAGGACAATGCTGCTCTCTGACTACTTTCTGCTGTATGGGGACATCCTGCAGGGGGGCCTGAGGGTTGGTGAGATGGTGGTTGATGCCCATGCAGAAGCTGGTACCAGGTATTTCATCCAGTACAAGAAGTTCATTGTTGGTGAATGATTTTATCTTAGATTGGAGAAATAAAAAAGCAAGGTGCTATGAGGAGGCAAATCACTAACATAATTAAATGACCCAGCAGATTTATATGGTAAGGTGCTCATCATCCAAATATGTTGTCATTCTGCCAGGACCATAGTGAGGAAGAATATCCATAGTTTAGCTGACAGGTTGGCAAATTACTCCATTTTGGTTAGGGTTTCCTTTATCTCAGGTTTGGGCATAAAGTCTAAGGTGACAGTAGGGAATTTGAAAAATGAGCATGATGTTGGGAGAGGTGAAGTTATGGGAGGCAATTAATACTCCATCTGAAAGGGTAAAAGTAAAAGTTTAAGTAGGATTCGTCCTTAGTCGAGGGGTTGAAATGGAGAGAATGGGAGGTATGAGAAATGCAAGGCCTGAAAATTGAATTACGTTTGAGGAATTATAGACTAGAGGTGGAGAGGGCTATAACTATATCACTTTAAGTGAGATAAGAGCCCAGACTCAGAGAGGTCTCATGTTTAACTAAACAATTGAGGGTGGAGAGAATTAAGATAGTTGTTATGTAGAACCGTATGAAAGTGATTTTACATATAATGTGGAAATCTTCAGGAAAGACTTCCCAGAATCCTACAGTGAAAAAAATAACTAATAGAATGTAAGGGATCAGGAACCAGATAGGATAATAAAATGAGTTAGTCTGAAAATTGTGGCTATGGGCCTTTATTGAGATGGAGACGGATGGAGATAGGAGATGTGATTACTACTTAGGATGTTTAGAATAAAGAAGTTAGGGTTAGGAGGGCACCACTTATCTTGAATGATGTGCACCCAGAATGGCAGCCCAGAAACTTGACTACATCGAGTTGCAAGGAAGACCAGATTGGGGGGGGGGCATTCCATTTTGGTTGCGATCTTGTGGACTTAGAAGATTTAAATAAATTAGGTCTCTTGGGGATATGGGAGGATTTGGTCTGGCCCCATCAGTGTTAGAGAAGACAGAGATCAGCATGTTTCTTTAAATTTTATTAAAAGAAAGACTAAACAAAACAGACAATGGGTAGAAATAATACATATGTTCAGAGAAAAAAAATGAACAGTAAGAAATCACTAGTTAATGTTTACAGACTGCCGTTTTACAATAGCTGTTCAAGATATAAAGTGGGAATTCAAACAGCGAGACTGCAAGCAGTTCTGTTCAACTATCCAACAAAAACTTAGTAATATTGTTGTCAATCCTATACACTTAAACATACATGCAGTTATCCATATCATCATTTATTTTGGGATTAAACAAACTAAAGCAGGCTAAAGTCATTCTGAAAAAAAATAATAGTATTGCTGTATTTCACATCATGACACTCTGGGATCAGCACTGGGTACTATAGTGTCATTTCTTTTTAATTTTATTTAAAGAAAGACTAAACAAAATTGAAAATTGGTAGAAATAATACATACTTGCAAAGAAAAAAATAAACAGCAAGAAAACACTAGTTGATGATTACAGATTGTCCTCTTACAAATAGTTATTCAAGATACTAAAGTGAAGCATATAAAGTGGGGATTCAAACAGTGATACTGCAAACAGTTCTGTCCAACTATCCATCAAAGACTTAGAAATATGGTTATCAATCCTGTGCACTTAAACATACATGCAATTATCCATATTTTCAATTATGTTGAAATTGGACAAACCCAAGCAGTCTAATATCACCCTAAACAAAGAATAGTACTATTGCTGGGTTTCACATTAAGACCCTCCAGGATCAGCACTGGGTATTTTAGTGTCTCTTTTTCTTCAAAGTATTTGTTCATTTCATCATGTGTCATAAGATCAGTTCTCATAAACTGTTTCTGGATTCTACACGTATATGAGTCTTAACATGTATTTCTATCCTTTCTATGTTAGAGGGAGAAACAAAAGAAAGCAAGACAAAACATATTCTTATTAACACATGAAACACAAAACACATATAAGACCATTGTACAAGGAGTTCTACCATAGTTCCTGTGTTGTCTCTTGTTATCTTCAATAGAATTGGCTATATCATCAGACATAGTATAATTGAATATATCAGTACATAACAGTATTAATAAAAACAGAACTTTGTATATAGTATAAAACTTCAAAAGCAGGCAATTATCAAACCAGAATGTGTATCGTAAAGTGTTGTCATCTTCAGTGTAGTTGCCTATACTCTCAGACTTGATACTATCAATCATATCAGTTTTGAATAAAATCTTCTCTGCCTCATTTCTGTTATGTTCTTTTTTGCCATCAGTTTCCTGCTTTTCTTCTTCATTCTGTTTTCTTCTCTGTTCACTGAGGATTCTCTGTGACTGTTCCTTGAATCCTGGTACTTTTCTCTCTCTCTAGAAAGCCCTGGAGTATTCTCTGTAGAGCTGGATTGATGGTTGAGAATTTCCCAAGTTCCTCTTTGTCTTGGAAGCGTCTTGTTTTTCCATTAATTTCTAGATAGAGTTTAGCAGGGTATATCCATCTGGGTTGGAGGTTATTTTCTTTCAGTCCTTTGAATATTTTGTTACAGGCTCTTCTTGACTTGATGGTTTGTGTCGAGAAGTATGCTGTTATTATGATGGGCCTTCCTCTGTAGGTTATCTGTTTTTTGCTTCTAACAGCTTTTAATATTCTGTTCTTATATGAAATTTCTGGAATCTTGATTATTATATGTCTGGGTGTAGCTTTGTTTTGATTGTAGGTGACTGGAGTTCTGTATGCATCATAGATCTGAATATCATTTCCTTTTCCTATGTTTGGGAAGTTTTCCTTAATTATTTCTGTGAATAGTCTTTGTAGTTCTTTTGTTTGTACCCCTGCTTCTTCATTCACATTCTTTTTTTATTATTTAAAGAGAAGGAAACAAAAAATAGAGAAAAAAGGGTAGAAATAATACAAAATTACAGAAAAACAAAGGGTAAGAAATTACTAGTTGATAAGTTACATATTGTCATCTTAGAAATAGTTGTTCAGGTTATAAAATTAAAGCATACAAAGTGACATTCAGATAGTTACACTGCCAACAGTTCTGCTCAATGATCCAACAAAAACTTAGTAATATGGTTATCAGTCCTACATACTTGTTTTTGGCTTAAAGAGGGTAAGATTAAACATATCATAACAGAACAAAATATTTCAAAAAGAAACAGTTTAAAGAAATACAGATTTCAAAGCAAGTCCACTGGAGATCTTCATTGTCTATCTTATTGTCTCTAGTTTTCTTCCAAATAGTTGTCCCCATCTTCACACACATTGAATACATACTACATATTATAGTACTAACCAAATCATTACAGGATGATGAAGGCTTTGTAGGTCTTCAAGATCTGACATTGGGGAAGTCAATAATGACTACCATAAATGTCTCTCATTCTCTTTGTAGTAGCTGTCCCTATCTTTATGTATGCTGAAATTGAACTTAAGAGACTAGACTAATGTCACTCTGAACAGTTAATAATAGTATTGCTAGATTTTATACCATAATGCTACAGAGTTAGCTTTGGGTTTCTTAGTGTCTCTTCTTCAGAGTATCTGTTCATTATATCTTGCATTACATAATCTGTTCCCATAAAGAGTTTTAAAAATTCTTCCCATGTGTGAATTTCTACATGTATATCTATCTTCTCTGTATTATAGGGAAAAACAGATCATAACAAGACAACAAAACAAATTCCTAGAAACACATGCAATGGAAAAGACACGTAAGTCCACAATATTAGGTGATTTACCATAGTTACTATGCTTACTCTTGTTATTTTCAATAGACTTGTCCACATCATCAGGCTTAAGATAGTTAAGCATAGTATTACATAGCTATTTTTATAAAAATGCAACTTTGAAAACATTGTAGGACTTGAGAGTGTTTAATAATCAAAACTGGTATGGATATCTTTTACATCTTGTCCTCTTCAGAGTAGTTGCCTCTACTTTTAGACTTGATACTATCAAGCATACCAATTTGAATAAAATCAGCTAAGGCAAAACCATGGTCTAACAAACCAGATTCAAATAAGCTCAGTAATAGTAAGCAGTGTAAGTAATACAGGATTTCAGTTTAAGTTAATAGGGAATTAAGGATAGTTACCATGGTATTACATGCTATTTTTGGGTTACATGTCTGTGTCCTCAAATTTGATATGAGTGGACAGACCAGAACAAAATAAAATCAAACTAAACAGAGTGATAAGACTGCTGTGACTTTTAAGTCCTGATACACTATTAACAATGTCTTCTGTCTTCCTTTTATAGGCTATTTTTTACCTTTCTCCTTCTCAAGATACTTTGTATGTTTTGGGTCTCACTAGCCCCTTTAGTTTTTAGATTAGGTGGCTAGCCTGTTGTCTATCTGAGTGTTGCTGAGTCTTTCTACCCATGAACATGATCTTGAGCTGTACTCCTTTACTCACTAAGGTCATAGGGTTTTCCTTCCTTCCAGATGTGTAGTTCTACACTGCCCAAAAGTCTCATAGCTTTCCAAGCTATCTGAAGCTGCTGGACGAGTTGTCCCTATTTCTCTCTCGTTTCCTGTCTCATATAGTATTGTTTTCTCATCCTTGACTTTTAGTTTATTAACCCTCCTTTGAGTTGAGTGTATTTTCCATTCAGAGCATCTCGATGGAGACTGCCTCCTAATCTACTATGTCTGTTTTTTTACTTTAGTGTATCAAGGGTATCTATGTTAAAGACTATGGCTTACTATCTCTGCCTCACGTCTGCTACTCCACTTTACTGCTATAATTTGTCCACCTTACTCCCTCATTCCACTGTCTGCCCCATTCATTGAGGCCTCTCTGCCACTGTTGCTGGAATTCTGGTATCCCTTCCTCTCTCTCTCTGGAATGTCCTTCAGCACTCTCTGTAGGTTTGGGTTGGTGGCCATGAACTCCCAAAGTTCCTCCTTGTCTTGGTAACATCTTATTTCTCCATTAATTTTGAGAGAGAGTTTTTCTGTGTACATCAGTTTTGGTTGCAAATTATTTTCTTTTAGGGCTTGGATAATTTCCCTTCAGGCTCTTCTCGATTTGAGAGTTTGTGTTGATAAATCTGTTGTTATTTTGATAATTTTTCTATTGTAGGTAATCTGCTTCTTTTCCCTGGCTACTTTTAGTATTCTGTTCTTTTGGCAGATTTCTGGAATCTTGATTATTATATGTCTGGGTGTAGATCTGTTTTGGTTGTAGGTGGCTGGAGTTCTGTATGCCTCATTTATCTGAATATCATTTCTTTTTCCTATGCTTGTGAAGTTTTCCTTTATTATATCTGTGAATATTCTTTGTAATTCATTTTTGGTTACTCCTGCTTTTTCACTCATGTGCTTTATTCTTACGTTGTGTATCCTTTTGTCATCTTCTAGCCTTTGGATTGTTTCTTTCTGGTTCCTCATTATTTTTAAGAGGTCTTTTCTTTCACAATCATATTTCATAAATCTCTCTTCAAGTTTCAAAGGCTAACTTTAGTTTCTCTCAAGGCATTTTGCTAGGTTTCAATGGAGTTTTTATTTTCCTGGTAATCTCTTTGGATCTGTTTCATGTATTCTAGGTTATGTTTAAATTCTTCATCAGAAATTTCTCTTTCTTTTCTGATTTCATCCATTCTTTCATCTGTGTTCTCTTGGGAGGAGCTTATCTTTTCTTTAATTAATCTTTTTTTTTTTTTTGTCTTGCCTCACTTGGATCAGAAGTACAGTTTTAAATCCTTCTATGAGGTCACAAAGGCATTTCTTTATGTCTGCTGATGCTGTGTCTAGTATTGGATGATTACTGCACTGGTTCTCTTCTGGTTTTACTTCTCCTGGGCTTATTTTCCCAGGTTTGGCAGCTGAAGATTTTTTTAAATTTCTATCTCTTGTCATGTTTCTTGTTTCTTTCAGACTGGTGTGTCCTGGGGGTCTCTGGCCCTCTTCATATTGCTTAGGGTCTTTCCAAAGTGTGCTTACTGGGGTTTTGCTGCCCTCCCCAATTTGCTGTTATATGAGGTACATGCAGAGATGCATGCACAGTGCAGGCTAACCTGGAGCCTGTGAGCTAGTCAATCTGCAAGTTAGGCTGTAACTTGTGGACATCACAGAGTCACAACAATTTTGTACCTGCTTATTGGATCCCAATCAGAGGCATCCTTGGCCCCAGTGGACCCTGCTAGTTCTCTCTGTGCCACGGGCTGCTGACTGAAGTCACCATGGCATTGGGCTCTGCCCAATTCCAAGCTGTCCTCCACCATCCTTCTTTGCTCCAGGGGTGACTATCTGACATCACCACAGCACTGCGCTCTGCCCAATTCCAAGATGTCTTCCAGCCAGTGACAGCAGCCATGGAACCCAATCCCTAGCACTCACTGGGAATTGATGCAGATCTTCTTCTTGGTTCCAGTGCACACTGTGCTGCGTGTCTTTACTGTGCTCCCAGCACAGTGTGGATTGGTCAGAAAACTGTGCTGTGCCCAGCTTCGGAGCCCAGGTGTATGGTCTTCTTGCAGTCTTTTCCAGCGTGGCCAGGTGGCTCTGGCTGCTTCGTGGCACCCCAGGTCCCAATTTCCAGCAGTCACTGAGAGCTAATATAGCTCTTCCCCTTGGATCCACTGCTCACTGCACCACATCCTCCAGTTAAGGGCCCAGGATTCGCCAACTCCCGTTATTGGCAGCCGCAGTCTCAGTGCGACCTTGGATCCTCTGGGCATGCCTAGTACAGCATGGAATGGATCTCATGAGCTTGTAGGGCTTTCACTCTCCACCCAGGCTTTCCTTCCTCTTCCTAGTTTTATTTTTACATTTGGTTACCACCTTGGTTAGTAAGAATCATTATCTATTCATCTGGCCCTCTCCATGTCATCATATTCTAGCATCTGATCTGATTTCTCCACAGAGACTCTCCATCCAGCCCCCTAGCAAGCCTCCATTTTTTTCTCCACCACTTCATTCACATTCTTTATTCTCAAGTTGTAGCCTTTGTATTGTTACTGCTTGTTTCCTTGTTATTTTTAAAAAGTTTTTCCTTCCATAATCCCACATTGCAAACCTGTCTTCCAGTTTGGATTATCTATCCTTAGTTTCCTTCAAGAAGATTGCCATCTTTCCATAGTTTTTAATGTCCTGGTAATCTCTTTGAATCTGCTTCATGTATTCTATAATTTGTTTATATTCTTCATCAAAAGGTTCTCTCTTTTGTTTGAGTTCCTCTCTTCTTCCATCTGTGTCTGCTTGAGGGTTTGTTAGCATCTCTTTTATTAATCTTCTTATTTCTTGCTTTACTTGGCTAAATATTTCACTTTTGAATTCATGTATAAGATCCCAAAGATATCTCTTTATGTCCACCAGTGCCATGTCTGATAATGCATGTTTGCTGTTCTCATTCTCCTTTGTATTTTCCTGTCCTGGGTCAATGTTCTCAGTGTTGGGACCTGGGGACTTTTTGTTGTTGTTTCCTCATCCCATCTTTTTTGTTTCTTCGAGGAGACCCCAGTTTCTTTCTTTGTTGGTTGCAATTCTTCTGAAGCAGCACTGCAGTGTGCTAGGGAGTTGCAGATGGGGGCAGTGTATGCTGGCCCTTCCCCTCTGGATCAGTCAAGCTGCTGTAGACTGCACTGTATTACTATGTGCCACCTCCCCTCTAGATCAGTCAACCTTTTGAGGCTTCACTGCATTAGTGTGGTTAATGTGCAACACCGCATACAGGATTGATTTTGGATAACCTATTGAGTCTCAGCCAGGTTGTGTGACCTAGGCCTACCTCACTCTACCAATCCTGTTCAGGAAGGGAACCACTGATTGAAGTCACTGCTGCTCTTTGTACTTGCCAGTCCTGCCCAGTCCCAGAATGTCATCCACTGGAGCCTTCCTTTCTATGGAATGGCTCCACTCCCGTCACTCACCACAAGTCAATGCAGGATCCCCGCCAGCTCAGCTGTCCATTCGGCTGGCTGACCCCCAACTTCAGTGTGACTTCGCCTCCAGTGAGTCAAAGTAGCAGGACCTTGGATGGCTCGGCAAGTTGCCTGCTGTAGCAAAAACACTGAACTTTTAGATGTTCCAATAATAGCACCAGGATTGTATGTTTGGTTGGTTTTTCTCACCTTAGTTTCTTCTTGGGATGAGAGAATTCATCTCCCTCTGTTTGCGGCTCCCCAGGCTATATTATGTTGAATTCTTTTTTTTTTTTTTTTTTTTTTTTTTTTTTGGTCTTTTTCCTTTTTATCGGTACCGGGGATTGAACTCATGACTGTCTGCTTGCAAGGCAGGTGCTTATGCCACTGAGCTAAATCCCCAGCTCCTATTATGTTGAATTCTAAGTTGACTATCTCAGGGAGCTTCTGTAGCCAGCTGTTATCTATCTGCCATCTTTGCTCCCTTCAATCAGCATGTTTTTGTAACAAGTGTCAGGGGAAGGAGAGGACAGAGATGTAGTCAGCAAAGGAGGAAGACTTAGGGAGGTAGAAAGATTGTAGAGTAGGCAAAATCAGCCATGCATGAATTCAAAAGGGCTTAAAGAGGTAGCAGCCCAGGGAAGTGCTTTGAGCTTGGCTAAGGCTAGGGGAATAAGTTGAGGCCAAGGTTGATATCATTCTAAAATGAGTTTTATGAGGTGCATTTTAATGAGGGCATTTGCCTTTTTTACTTTTCCTGAGGATTGTGGATGGTATGGAATGTGTAAGAACCAGGTGATATGTAAGCTTGAGAATGCCTGTTGTGTGATTTGAGAAATAAAGTCCAGATTATTAGCTGACTTGATACTCTGAGGTAGACCAAACCTAGGAATGATTTCTTGTAATAGGACTTTAGTAACTATGTCAGCAGCTTCCCTGATTGTGGGAAAGGCTTCTATCTATCCTGAAAAAGTACAGAGATACAAAGATAAGAAGATATTTAAGAATTTTGTAGTTAAGCATGTGTGCAAAATCCATCTGCCATTCATGATCCAGGGTGTGTCTGAGAAATTGATGCATAGGAAAAGAAGGGATTGTTTGTGCCCCTGAGGAGTGGTTAAGCTTTTAGAGAAGATATCTGTGTAAAAGGAATGTGGGATATGTTGGCATTACCAGAAAGCTATGTGTGAAGGAAAGAGTTTGGAACCTGCATGGAATGGGCCCTGTTTGAAGAGGCTGTGTAGATTGGCCATCAACACCCACTACAGAGACTGAAGATTTAATACAATGTCCTGAAAACTCAGGAAGAACACTGTTCATGGCCCTCATGTCAAGTACAGAGAGTGTCTTACCTGAGACCCCCAGTGAGAGTTGGGGCTCTGAGAGAAGGATACCTTAATGGGGACCATGGATTATGAGCTCTCAATCTTATTCAGCAGCAAGTCCAAGTAGATCATCCGGCAACAAATTCAGCAGTGATGACATCTCCTGTAATGGAAAACAGTTGGAGGATGGCTTACTTGCTCTCTGGCAGCTAAGACAGTTAGTCTTCCATTGGCCCTAGAGGTTTTGAAGGAGGCAGGGCCCCAGAGGAATTCATGTATTGAGGCATTCTCTTGCCTATGTGTCTATAAGTACGTATGATAGTGTCTTATCTGAGACCTCCAGTGAAACCCAGGCCTCTGAGAAGGATACCTTAGTGAGAGCCATGGGCCCCAAACTCTATCAGTCATCTTCAATAGCAAGTCCAAACAGATGAGCCAGTGATGAATCTAGTGGTGATGAGATCTCCTGTGAGAGCAAGGAATTAGAGGATGGCTTACCCACTCTATAGTGGCTAGGAAGGTCACTCTTCCAATGTCTCTTGAGATTACAGAGGGAACAAGGCCCCAAAGGAACTCATGGTTTGAAGCATTCTCTTGCCCTGTGTCCCTCCTTGTCACATTTGAAGCATGGCTCAGGAGGGGCTCAGGAAGCTCTGCCTTGTTTTGGTTTACCTGTTTTATGAACCCCAACTGTCACTGCTAAAAATGAGTTTGATATTTAGCAAGTTTCTTTTTTGTGCTTTTGCCCCTTCTTTTGAGTTTTATGTCTGTTTTTGAAAACATATAAAAAGTCATATTAAGAAGGTCTTCCTGTGGGGTTTGAGGGCCAAACTCAGCCTTTTTGTAGTTTTTGTAGTTGTACAAGAATGTCAGGTGCAGACTGAGAAATAAAATAAAAGTTAATAAGAATTGTCCCTATATAATGTTAACAAAGTTACATATTTTACATGGAAAATTATAAATCAAAATCATACTTAATATTATAGCATGACAATTATGATAACATAAGATACTCCCTTTTTGATCAATCATCTCTAATATATAAGAAGCTTTTACTTAATTTGTCATTGAATAGGATGTCACTGGAGAAATTTGTGACATTGTTTTGACTGCTTAATGTGTAAGCATCTCCAAGTATAGTGGTACATATATAACATATACAATACATAAATTTTTGTTTAAAAAATTATCACTTGACTGGTGACCTTGTGTTGGTTTGACTTTAATCTCCTGGCTGGAGCACAAAAAAGGCAGATGTCTGGATCTGAATGAAGATGTTGTTATGGATTAAGAACTGGTGGTCAATTTAATGCCAGCTGGATTACATCAGCATGGCATTGAGCAAAGATGCTCCACCTGAGGAAAGTTGCCAGGATAAATAGATGGAGAAGAAGGGAGGTGTGGACACATTGAGATGTTAATGCATTGTTGTGTGGAGGCATTGTGAGTTCTACATGTTGCTGTTTGAGCCGTTGGTTCTCCTGGAGAAGCTTTGACCCTCACATCGAGCATTGCTTCCTGGCTCCAGAGGGTAATATGTGTGCTGCTTGGTTTCCAGGATGGGCTCATCATGCTGGCTTCCTGACATGTACCCACCTGTGCTTGTCCTCGGAGGAGCTAGGGGCCTTCGTGTCTCTGAAGATGGCTGTGGTGCCTTTCAGGACAGCCCTGATCTTTATTGTGAGTGTGACTTGTCGGTTCCAGCGTGGAACCCTCATCCCACCAGCACAGCTGCTTCTTCTTGCTGGCATAGACTTTCTGGCTTCCACTGCTGACCTTTGGGCCTTCCCGGCATGGATCCATAAAAGCAACTGATGTGAGTCCTTCTTGTGGGCTCTGGATCTCCATTTGGACTCATGAGAGGCACCATCATGAGCTCTGGGTGTTTTTTTGGACTCATGTGGGACATTGCTGTGGGATTCAGGGCCCTTGACTAATATTGTATGTCTTTGGTGTTGCAGATAGATTTCCTGCATGTTCCTGTGTTAACTCCCAGTGATCATTATAAAAATAATATTATAAACTCCATGTCCTGATCCTAATTGTTCTAACTACAACAGATGTTTGCCATCAGCAATATTGAATTCTCTTAGCCATATGAAACCTTTGTCAAAATCCTTAATATACTTTTAGTTGGGGTGTCCCACATAAGGCTGTCAAGATTATTTGGGTCTCATTAGTGAACAAGACCTGGTTAAAAATGTTAACAGTCATCTGCTTTTTTATTCATCAATTGTAGTCCTGTTCAATAATCCAAACCCTAAAGGATTTTGTTTAATTATCTTAACAATTTTTGATGATTTATGAAAAATCCAATCATAACATTTGGCCCATTAATTTTTTAAACAATAAGATATCAAGACAATAACAAACAGCAATAAGAAAAATAGAAAAGATTGTTGAGTTAAAAAAAAACAGTTGTTTGTGGATATGACAAAGAAACATATATAGATGATCTGTATAGATTGGACATAGAAACATATACAGTTTAACAGATAAACACTTGGCCAATTTGAATTATAATAACTTTTGTAGTTTCTACATTTTTAAGTATAAATAGACTAGTGAGAACCTTTTTAAAAGTCAATTAATGGAGATCTCTTGAAATAAAATAGCAGACCCAGGTTCATTTTAGTAGTATTTGTTTGATATGTATAATCAGATTTTTTAAGCTGCTTGCCATAATTGAGCCACTCATTAGCTGAGGGTGTTGTTCAGAATCACATAAACATCCTTTAAATGTAAATCATAATTATTAGTTGTAAATTTATACTCTCCAATACAAGTTTGTAGGTCCCCAGAAAACGAACCTGATTTATGATTAATCGGAGATAGGCCAGGGAGGGAAAAATGAACATAAATACAAACCCGCACCTGAAGACAACAGCCTGTTCCTGAAGGGGGAATAGGGATTGAGGCTGATAGGGTTGTAGAGTGGGAGGTGTAGATAACCACCAAGCAGCCAATTGCCTAACAGGTGCCTGTGGGCAGTTACAGAATGATTGACCATTAGATGGTTGCTTATCGCCATGTGACAACATGATGAGGGACCACGAGATGGTGGCCATTTACCATGTGACTTCTCACAGATGTGGTAGACTGTCACATGGCAGAGAACTACAAGATGTTGGCTGTCCTCTATGTGACTTGCAGCAATATGGCTGCTGAGGATCATGTTGTAATTATAAGATGGTGGTCAAATACCATGTGGTTTGCTAAGAGGTTGAGAGATGCAAGACCAAGTGTGGTGTTCCAGCAGGGAGAATGGTGACTTGGGAGCAGAGGGGAAAGAAGAAGAGGAGCTGTCTGACAGAATAGATGGCTCAGGTTGAGGGGATTGAGGAGTCTAAGATTAGAAAGAGGAAGTGGAGAGAGGGTAGAGCTGGGGACTCAGAAACCTCTAGTTGAGAAGGCTTAGGGGTTTGGGCTTGGGGATATTGGGAAGCGGGGTGGGGTAAAGACAAGAGGCACATTGTCTAAGGTGTCTGGTGGAGAGGAAAGGAGAGAATCTGGTAGAGTAGAGTGAATCAGAAGTACTTGGGCCACTGAACATTACTGAATAAAAGAGGAGAACGTCCTCAAAGTGAAAAGGTCTGGATATAAGGGATTCCTAAACACTTATCATTGCTGTGACAAAGCATATTCAAATCTTGAAGGATTTTTATTTTTATGGTCTGCCTGATGCCAAGAGCACCATGGTTACAAACCAGGCACCATGGAGGTGTATTTTTTAGGGGATACAAAATAGTATTCTCCAAAGTGATTAAATTAGAAGTGAGCCAAAACAGCAGGTCTCTACCTTGGGCCATGAGACCTGTAGCCTCACCCGAGGAGCATGAGAGCTGTCCTGGGTCATACTTATCAAAAGAAGTCATCACCTGTTTTGAGAGTGTGACAGAGAAGTCCCCAGCACCCATTCTTATTGGCCATCACTGAGAGTGCTGGGAGTGAGGTCCCAGAGGACAAGAGGGTTACAGCTTTGACTCAGAATGTGAGGACAGTAGTTCTGCCCAAGCAGTGTGAGGGCTACTATCTTTATTCAAGGGATGTTCAAGAGGTTCTCCAATGTTAGCTTATGAATTTGTAAGGCTGAGAACAGCTCTGCCTCAGGACATGAGGGCACTAGCCCTGCCCAAGGAGCATGAGAGCTGTTATAGACTGAGAAACTGGGACAGGAAACCCTGAACATAAAAGTGGCTCATCGGTGACAAATGAGTTGGATTGGTGTTGGATGCAGGCTAGTAATGGCAAATAGGTACATCCCAGAGGAAGGACAAGTGAGTCATAGGCAGGGGAGCTCACACCTTGGGTGACACTCAGGAGCCCACACACACTGCCAATGAAGTTGTACAGCACCAAATATTATGATTTTTGTGCAATAGAGAAGGAAAATGAAAAAAGGACATTGAGGACATGGAGAGGAGTGTACTACTGGTGTGGTTGGACTTTCTTTCCCAGAGACAAACATGGCAGGAGGTTTTACGACCTGTGGCTAGAGGCATAGATTGGGGTGGATGTTGATGTATGAGGAACTGATTGGAAACCTCTTTGCGCATAGCAAAGAAAAAAGGAAGATGTAATCAGGGTTGAAGGGGAAAAAGGAAGAAGATGTTGTCAGGGTAAGTGTTGTTTTTGCTTTGCCCTTCTACCATATTAGACCACTGCCATAAGGTCCAGTAATTTATACTAGGACAGAAACCTTTCAGTATGTGGATGAACAATATGCTACAACAAGAGAAAGAATTCACCCCAGAAAGGTTGTTGTCCTTCCAAAGAACCAAAATTAATATTAGTGGTGGATTAGAAATGATGTCTAATATGATAACTGTTCTTATCATTGGAGTAAAAAGGTCCATTATGAATCATGTGAGTTATGAAAAGGTGAATGAACTTAGGGGAGGGAATAGAGGAAAGCCTAACTGTCTTTGTAGCTGACTAGTAGCTTTTCAGAAATATGCAATCCTGTCTATCATCCCAGGAGGAACAAGCAGTGATGGGATTATCATTTCATTAGTCAATCAGCCCCAGATATTTGGTGTAAAATACAAAAATGTCACATGGCTCTACAAATGCCTATAACTCAATTGATGAGCATAAGCTTTTCTATTCAACAACTAGGAACTAGGTGAAGATGAATGGAGAAAGGTCAAAATTATGGCTTTT